TGCTCAGCAAACATAACCTAGAACTAAGCGAGATAAATATAGGGTTGCATACACATTTGAGGTACTAACCACAGAACAAAGGGTCTAGGTTGTGAAATGTGCATATAACTACCTACATATATTCCCCTTGATTAAATTTAACTATTCCATCTAAAAGTGCAAAACCAAAACGGGAATTTTATATGGGAACAAGTTTTACATTTTCAGCTATGCTGTCACAGAAGTGTTTTGGATAGTCTACTTTATATCGAATACAAGTATTTTTTGTGTATTGTCACACACAACATTTAGTGTAGGTCAAAAGCTCATTGAAACGGGCCGTATGTAGGTCGTCCTCTCACCTCTACACCTCTTAATTAAGACGATAATATCAAACAAGTCAAAGTAACTCTACTTGAAAAACATCGTATTGGCATCATAAAGCAAAGGATTTTAGCATTTCTTATGGATCAACTCAACAGATTGCGGTTAATGTTTTAGGTATGAAGAGTGCCGATACTGGGCTCGTCACGCAAATTCTCCATATTTTGCAAAGCGCCGTCGAGTAGAGTTCTCAAAAGAGATGATTTACAAAGTAGGTGGGTACTTAATATTCCCCAAACTCATCGTTTCTGGTGATTATACGGGAGTTTATCAATATGATGTCGTTACAGTTCAAGAATCTATCGAATGGCGCTCCGAAAATAAGCCGAAGCCAAAAAAACACTTCAAAAGCATTAAGAAAAATTCAGGCGATATTCATGTTTTCTTTATTATCGTGGTGTGGTTCATCATGAGCTCGTTTCACAAAGTGAATCGGTCAATATGGAATAGGACTTGACCATTTTGAGACGACCGCATTTGTGAGCAGGAATTTTATGATGCGTAGTCGCATTCCTGCGGGATCGTCATTGACTTTATGGCCAAACAAGAGATTTGGCTCCCTGTGACTTTCTTCTATTTCTTAAAAATCCGCCTCGGCATGAGGTATTGAAAATCATTCGTTGAAGGCAGCCCAGTCGAGAATAATTAACAAGTGTTTGGAATGTGGATTAAACGTTGGCATCGTATTGGATTAAAAGAAAGCTTTTTTGAAGGCGATAATAAAGTTCTGTATTAAAATACGTGAAAATACGTTGTTATTTGTCAGTGCGAGTCAAGTTTAATAGATGGTAATTACTTTATGTAATACAAATGTACTGCATTCAGTACTGGATTAAGTGCAAGGCGTGGTACTGAATAATAATGGAAAAATTTTAAAAATTCAAATACAGAACTGGTTTTAAATTCATATTCTATAATTTTTAATTAAACTTCGGGATATGTTGGGTGGGGTTTTTGCAATAATAGGGATATTTAATTTTAAATATCATTCTCTTCATTTTTATTTGAAAAAGGAAGCAGGAATCACTCCTTTCATTTGATAATAATATTTTAAATTGTTATGGCAAAGCACCTGTCAGTCTAATTCGTATGTATATAAACATATTATATTTGTATGTAGTAGATATAGTGGTTTGTGTATTGGTATGTACAAACATGAATGTTTTGCTCTGACAGCGAGGAAATTAGTAATTATAAGCACGAAATTGGAAAATATTGCAACACAATCAGACTGCCAATATGGGCTATCTGTCAAATGTCAATCCTTTTACCTCGCGCATTACATGAAGTGCGCTACCGAGATGTTACGAATCGAATTACAAAATGAAATGATGAGTGAATTAGTATTCAATTGAAATGTGGTTGATGTTAATGCTCTGGGAATTGCTAACTATGAAATACTTGATGCTTTACCGCGAATTAATTATAGTTGCCATGTATTTCAAAATTATCAGGTGTGGCAGATAGAGATCTATGTTAACGTTTAATTTCTTTGTATACATCAAAACATATCTATGTAATAGCAAACGACCAGTGAAATCAATGGCATATCATTGTGAACTATTTTTGATTTTATTTTTTATATTTGTCTTAAAAATACAAAACTTCAACATGTTTAGAAGGATTAAATATCAGATAAGAAGTATTAAATATATTGAAAAATATAGCACAGAAGTTATCGTTACCGTTTAAAAATGATAAATATAATAAATAGAAATATATAAGCTACCGTGGTAATGCCTTCCAGGGGGCTCTCTTACCCACGTTCTTTCCTTGGACTCACCAAATTTCATCACTGCTTCTTATACTTCACCGGAGATAGGCACGGCATACCTTTACGCTTTTTAGCATCGATTCTCGCATCGAATATCTTTTTCGCTAAGATCAAAAATCCTCGAAGAACTCTTCTCTCGACTTTTATTGCGATATCGTCTATGTTTCTATGTAGGATGTTAGTTCAGTTTGTCGGGAGGGGCCCTAATTATTTGATGAGTCTGATCAGAGTGGTGCTAAGTTAAACAAGTCTTGACTGCTTCGAAAATGTTGTACGAAGCTCAAACTGCTTTAAGTTTTCCTCTCATTAACGCTTCACTGACTTTGGTCGATTCCTTCCCGATAGCCGCAAAAGCTTCAGAGCCAGCCTGCTTCCATGTCAAATTATGTCTATGCCATCGGCAAATAACTGCACGAAAGCCTAAAAAATGGTTGTCTTCCATGATGAAGTTGAATCGCCTTGTTCGAAACTTTCTCCGGTAGAAAAAGGTTTGTAGAGTTGAGATTCTAGCTTGATGGCGCTGGGGTTATTGCTCCATGTCATTCTGAAAAGGTGTTTAGATAGCAGATATATCAAGCTGGAACAATGCGGTGTATTGAAATTTGCCATGTAATTGCCGGTGAATATTTCCTCACATACGCCTTCGCTATCGGTTCTGAACCAACTTCTCTTATAGTAGGGGATTTTTGCAGTTACTAAAGCGTGTCAGAAAATTTTATGGGGAGAAACATTGCATCTTTTTATGTAGCCCTAGTCAGATTAGAGAAAAAAAAATCGATCCGTCGGGAAACTCGAGCGCGTCAGATTAAGAGATGGTAAATTAAATATATGAAGACGAGTGTATATTTCAATATTCTGACAGTTTAAGGGTGACTTAGAGAAATAGCAGGGTGACAAATCAGTAAAAAAAAAACGTCACCTTAAAAGACTCGAGCGCGATAGATTTCTTTTTCATATTAAAGGTAATTCTGTCAGAATCACGAAAATCCTATAATCTGACAGTTTCCATGGGGCGATAGAGATAGAATCGTCGACAAAAGGTCAAGCGTACTGATCAGCATAGCGTGGTTGTTGTTAGTAGACGCTTGAAACTTTTGTTTGTTTGTGGTGTTTTCAATTTTTTCCCCTTTACAGCGAGAAGCGTACGAGGACTTGGATGCTGGGAAATATTTTTTTGAAGACTAGACTGTCATAAAAGAAGTAAAAAATTGTAAAATTTTATATTTTTTCTCGGTTACGGAAATGCAAAATGACGAGGAAGTTCGAGGAGTTCAAGAAGTGGAAACCAGCTTCGACGATGACTCGAATGACGATAATTGTTATGTTTTTTTTTAATAGTTATATAATATTACATCCTGTAACAAAAACAAGAACCAAATAGAATTCTTCCACTTTTAAATAGTCAGGTTAACGATATTCCTCTATATAATTGTTAGATTATCTTTTGGGAAGACTCTGACATCAACTTCATCTCCCTGCATAAAAATCTGACGCGCTTGAGTATCTCAAGGTCACCTTTTTTTTACAAGTTTTAAAATCAGTTATGACTTTTGGAGCTTCATTAACATTCGCTTTGAAAATCTGACACGCTCGAGTAACTTTTTTTTTTTGTTTTTTTTTGGTTTTGTTTTTAAACTCTCATTACGGCCCTCCGCCTTGAATTTATTGTCAGATTAATGCGCGTATATACCATACATGACGCGCTTGAGTATTTTTATGTGACTTTTTTTTACATTTTTGAAATTAATTACCCGCTCTTCTCCCCACTAAAATGAAAAACTACACCTAGACTTTCTTTTTTTTAAACGTTATCTTGACAATCTAGTAAGTCTCCATGACGCTCCAGTAACTGCAAATTTAGCACTCCAGGCCCCCCTACTATTACTATTTAGATAAATTGAAACCGTTGGCCTTTTAAGTATTTTTGATATTATGTAAGAGTAGCTTAAGTTGACAAGTTGACTTTGACACATTTATTTAGATTTTAAGTAGTGCTCTGGGCTGATCAATTATCACTGAGTTTCGTATTTGGCATGCTTAGCTATTTTGGAATTGCTTGCGATAAAAAATTGCTCCAAGTTTGGACTTTGAAAGTTTTTACAAAGTAAACTTTCTTGATAATGACGTCTTTAGAAAAGAGTGCCAACGGTATACTTTCTAAAATGACACTCTGTTTATGAACGTTCCCTGTATTTACCATCTCCTGATGATAGCAAGGCTAAAAGTTACCTCTCCAAATCGATATGGAAGTGCGGTTCAGGATTCCTTCTTATGCAGCGGGTATCAACGTACATATGGCACCAGCGATACATACGCACGCCAGCCCTCTGCACTTACGTCAGCTATTTCTCAACAGTTGTGGTGGAGACTCTTGACGGCCACGATGCTATTTCATATATGACTATTGGTCCGACTATCATGGTGTGTATCCAACGTAATAACATATGCCCGGTTTGCAGTCCCAAGTTCCACCAGATAGTCGTTTGTACACCATTAACGCATTGGTGGCTTTCGCAATCATTGAGTCGGTCCCGTACTTTTTCCATATACAAGTTTTGAATCTAGTATCAACCCTACTTTATTTCATCAACATCATCTATTTAATTGAGCGCTAGGATCCTCAGGTATGGAATAGATATATGTACGTCTTTCGAAAGAATGATGACAGTTTTTAAACGGTATATGTTAAGTCCGACGTTACGCACCAACTTTTTACTAGGATGAATTCTGTTTGGGTGATGCTAATGTAATCCATATAGCCTTAGCAGCGGATACCAATTTTTATGAAAATTAATCTTTTGAATATTTTTAACCATTAAAAACAATTTAAATTCATTGCTTTCCCGCTTTTTATTTTTTCCAGGCGGTTTCAAAAACATCTCTAACTTTGACATATGAAATACCAATGGATCTACTAAGAGGAGAGAAAGTAAAAGTAACTTAGCAAGCGCAACAGCAGTGAAGGAGTCTAAAAATTTACGCCTAAAATGGTCAAAGTAATGATTACAGAGATACAAAGCGCAACGAAATAAGCAGACAGCTAAAGTTAAGAATTATTAAACTTTTACGTAATTATTATTGACCATAACAAAATTATCAAAGGAGAATACAGTGCATGGTCGAGTTAGGAAGAAATATGAATGCACAGCCAAACCAGAAATACAACACTAAATCTGCAAGCCTTGTAACAGAAACTATAGCCGCCGTTATGGCACCCATTTTGGACACGAGCAATGCATCTTATGCGGCTACAACTTACAACGTGGATGCTGCAGCAACAACAGCGATAACGCTACCCTATTGGAGTAGTGATGGCGGCGAGGAGGGCGGTGGCAGTAGTAGCTATAGTGGACTTAGTGCGACAGCGGGCAGCGCTCACGCCTATAATGACACGCAGGCGGCAGATTACAATTCGAGCGATTATTATGAGTATCCGCCACCCTGTCTGTCCTTCGACGAGCCGGCGAATGTATCATATTGGAATGTGACCTGCGATAATCCGTTGGAATATGGTCTACCTTTGTATGGTTATTGTATGCCCTTTCTACTGGTCATAACAGTGGCGGCGAATTCGTTGATTGTGCTGGTGCTGAGTAAGAAACACTTGGCCACACCCACAAATTTAGTTTTAAGAGGTAAGTGTTGTGATATTTTGTTGATATTTTTAAGGCGTTTGAAAGGCTGATTTCAAGCCTGCATATATAATATTAAGTTACTATGACAAATAAGTAGAAAGAAGTATAGAGAAGAAAAGAAGAGCACATTTCGGGTGTCGAGGAGCATTTGATACTCTCACACGTTGCAGGAATGCAAGAAATTGTAATATTTTCAGCTGCTGTCAAAACTTTATTTAAACAAGAAGGGCAAGGTCCGCATAATACGGAGGCTTAGACAAGGTCTAGAGTAAGAATTATAAAGGCTTAAGCTGCAGCTTCGAGTTCACACTAACAATACGATTACATAAGCTCATATCTTATTTATATTTAATTATACAATTTGTAAAACAGAAAAGAATGTTGGAGATCCTACAAAATATATAAATATAATTGATCAGCATGAAAAGCTGACTAGTTTTAGCCATACTCCTCTGTCTCTCCGTCCGTGCTTCAGTTTTTGAGAACTCGATTTAAAATTTTTCACACGTTTTCTTCACCCTACTGAATATGTGCTATGAATACCTCAGTCACATGTAACCTTTTGTTCTGATATTAGTCTTAGTCTCATGGCATCGACCTTGATTATGTACTTGTCAAAAGCTCGAACTAAGGCTTTGCACGCAGGTGGTACACATCGTCTTATTAATTTGCTTTCTCTTTTTTCTTTAGTTCCACATCAAGATACAGCAATAATTTTCTCTCACTAAACACATACACATACATTAATCATCACTAAGCACACTTACCTATATGCGCACCTAATTGTTGGAGGAAATTTTGAACCCCAACCCCCAACCAGTGCCGGTTGCGATTCTTCTTTCTGATTAGACGAGTACAAGCGTAGAAGGCGTGAATGCAATCGCTTAAATGCACACATGACGCACTTACAACCGCACACATACATACATAAGTCGGATGTATCCGCTTTGCATGCTCTTAATGCGCAGTGATTTCAGTGTCAGATCCTTGATGTAAACACACGAGAAATCGATGACAACATTAATTTCAATATTAAGTATACGCCTCGGCGGCACAAGGCGTGGGTGTGCAGGCGCCGGCCAGAGGAGGTGCTCGTATGCGTAGCATGCAAACAGTAAACACATTTCTAAGTGACAACACACTGCCCTCCAACGCACAGTGAAAAATGCAAACAGACATTAAAATGAAATCGATATTATTAGCATTTCAGGCAGCAGTAGGTTCTTCCTCCCGCGCTTCTTCCTTGCTCTCAGCCGATAACGATGTTTGGGTCGCGCTAATTTCAGCACTTCAGTGCTTTGTTTGTTTTTACTGTGCAATAAGGATTTTATGTTTGAGTACTTTTCTTTGTTTTTGCACACTGGATCGATTTTAAATAGAACACTAATTACATTTTTAAAATGAAATATCAATGGGAAAAAGATAAGTCTCAATAGAGACCACACTGGGCATTTAAGCCAAACAGTCACTCTTCAACATAACAATTTATTGGCCATTTAAAATATATTTTGTAGCTACCTTGGGTTTAATTAATCGCTACTTGAGCGTTCTTTGGCGGTTGGGTATAAATACAACTATTATGTGGTAATTTCATGTAAAATTGAATAAGAAGTGTCTCTTCATTTTCTTGTCGCTCTGCTGTTGCAAACGGCAATAAAAGCGGAGTTGTTTAATATGTGAGGATAATAACAAGACGACACCTTAAGAGAATATGATGATTTTGGACGATTTGAAAAGCTGTTCTAGTGTTACTGTTCAAGCAACCGACTTCAGTAGCATTTTAGTTTTCGAGAAAAACTCTTAACCATACATTAAAAACACAAAAAAAAAAAAAAATAAATAAATAATTAAAATAAAATAAAACAACTAATCAAGCCATACTACCACACAAAGATTTAATTTCCTTTTATAAGATGACAAGCGTGATTTTTCGCTCCAAGGCCTGAATCGAAGCGGGATTGTCCGCATAGATTTAAGACTTTACATATTCCCACAGGAAAAAGTCTAACGGTATGACAAGATCTTGGTGGCCAATCGACCGGCGCAAAGCGAGAAATTATCTGCTCCCCGAAGTGTTCTTTTAATAAAACCATTGATTAATTGTGGAAAGGCCATTTCTTGTTGAAAGCAAAAGTCGCCGAGATCACAAACTTCTATTTCTTATTTTCATACCCATTGAATCAAATATGCGCCTCATCGCTGAAAAAAATTTGGCTCGAAAAGGTCGAATCTTCTTGGAGCTTGTTTTTTTTTCGAATTTCGAGCGGGATCAGCTTATGTACAATCTATATTTTGTACGCTTTCAATTTAAGATCTCTACATAAAATGTGCCAAGTTTTTCCAAACGAGCTGCTGCGAATGGCGCCGAAATACTCTCCAAGTCCTTCGTGTACACTCCCTGCTAGGGCCGCTATATTTTCTTCAATTTAGATTGTTTATCATATTTGTGTTTGAAAAACATTTAATGCTTTTCTGAGGAATAAAATTTGGGAAATTACTCTGAATTTTACTCTGAAGAGTTTTTTTTTATAAAATATGATTTGGTTAAGAAGTCGACTCTAACAGCCATCTCACTTGGACAGCTTAGATAGATAAATTATATGTATAACAGATCATAAGATGCTTAAAAATCGATAATGTTCTTTGGTTCGCCGAAAGTAAAACTGCCGAGCTATTTCAATCTCAGATAATGGATAAAGGAAGAGAAAGCGTCTGACTGTTTCCACCTCACTCTCCTCCATATAGCTTTGTCAACTAGTGTCCGCCCAGATTTTTAGCCTTACTACTTAAATGTGTATTATACAGTGTCCAGTAAGAACTCTTACGATTACGGTTAGATGAACTATGCTAAGGGTAAGTTATATAGATCTCCTGTGTTTTTTTTTTCTAGGCCAAAAGAACGTGACAGTCGCACAGGACAGACAACAGATTGTTGTCGATCAGCGCCTTCTAAGCGCAGGCGAGGTTCATTGACTAAGTGCAAGAACGCAACAAGTATCCAACTCGTTCCCATTCCAATGTCAGCGGGCAATAATACTCCCTCTGGCTGGCTTGATGAAGTTACTTGATGCTATTCGGATTATAGAGCGGTCATAGCGAATGCTCGCCTTCTAAAATAAGCTGAACTTGGAATGTGTATTCGAATATCTATGGTCACCTCAATAGCAGCCACTGGCACTTGGCATTTTTCAAAAACTACGTCTGTTCTCCAGCGATTCCTCATCACGATTAGCTTCTGCGATGCAGTTTTCAGAAATGCGGTTGAACGAGAAGATAATTTCGGCGCATCCTTGTTCGAACGCCTTCATATACCCAGCTTCCTTGAGCCTTAAAGTGCACTTCGCAGCAGTACATCGCCAATGGCCCCCAGGAAACCGAATTTGGGGGACAATAGCTTCGCTTTGGTAGTTGAATGTCCCCGAGCCAAACGTAAAAAAACCAAAAAAAAAAAAACAATATATAAACCCCTAATTTTTCCCGAACTACCTAAAACTAAACAGAACAATCCAAAATTCCTTACTATTTCAGCAAGTGATTCAACAAACCCAATCTCGAAATACTCAAGTTTTGCAGTGCATAAAGCATTGGAAGCTATAAGCAAAGAAATAATTTCCATTTCTTAGCTACGTGATGGTAATTTGTTGTTGCTGGTAAAAAATCCAACAATTACACAAAAGTTTTTAAAAACAAAGCGATTGAATGGAATTTGTGAAGTGAAAGCAAGCTATCAAGATAACTTTAACTTTTCCAAAGGTACAATATTTGCACCATGCCTCAATAATGTCCCTGAAGACGATAATATTGAAAACATGAAAGAGCAAGGTGTAGTAGGAGTGCATAAATTCCAAAAAAAAAAAAAGGTGGACAATACCTTAATTCACCGGAGTTACCCTTCTTACTTTCGATTTGTATGAATTACCTAATAAAGGGGAGGTTTCATGGCGCTCAGCCAGTGTAAGACCATATTTTCCCAACTCAATGAGATGTAAATCATGCCAACTCTTAGGGCATACCATTAAAAGGTGTAACAACAAGCCTGCGTGTGAAACTTGTAATTTCCCTCCTCACGTCTCACATCATATTCAAATATTTGTCCAATGTACACCCAAACTAAATAAATTCTAAAAATTAAAACTGTGAACAAATGTACGATGCGTGAGGCGATAAAGCACAAGTGCCCAGCCTTCACACTGACACTGTAAAGAGCACCAGAAAAAAGTAGCACAATAAATTCAGTAAACTCTGAATCTCTCCCATTTGTTTCCCTCAATTCTTCCTCTCACAGCACTCTCAACAGCTTTGCTAATAATTCCACACATCAAACTACTAATTCCACTCATTCATTTATCAGCGAACTACAATCTCACCACACTTCAAATGCTTTTATCAATAATTCGAAAAACCAACCTATTAATTACTCAACAATACAGTCACCCAGACCATGATCAGATTATGCCAACTTTTGACGATGAAGAAATTTAATCCATTCTTCTTTGTCCTATTGGCTCTATGTTCAATATACTTCAATGGAACAGAAAGGGCTTCTACAACAACTACACTGAACTTGAAATTCTCATTAAAGAAATCTCACTACACTTCATTGCCTTAAAAGAAACTCATCTTGCTGTAAATAAATATGCTTATGTACCAAATAAGTATGTTAGCTATGTCTTAAACCTCAGAATTTAAAAAACAAACAAGGTATTGCTGTTTTAGTAAGAAAAGATATTCCACATAAATGCCTCGAAATCCATTCAAATATAGCTTCTTTAGCCATTCAGATATCCATAGAACTTAAATTTACTTGTATATTCCCGCACAACAAAATTTTACGCTTACTGAGCTTCAGCAAATTTTCTCCTCAATATCCAAGCCCGTAATCCTGGTTGGATATATGAATTCGTGGTCCCCATTATGGAGCTCCCCCCGAACAAACCAAAGAGGATCAACTCTGGGAAACTTAACTCTGACAGATAATATTAATTAACGTATTGAACGAT